TTCATGAATATGGAAACTCTTTTTGGTACCAGCATTCTATTGTTTGGCACAGATAAGTAAGGCAGTACCAGGGATACAATTCAGGGCCTTCTCACTGAGCTACATGCCTACGCCACTTTTAAGTTTTTGAGACAAGGCCTCACTAAGTCTCTAAATTGACTCAGCGAGCTTCAACTTGTGATCTTCCTGCTTCAACCTGGGATTACAGGCCACTGCATCCACCATGATTCTTAGACTTCTGACTCTCAGAGCACCAAGACTAAATCCTGTTAGCGATTTAAAACAATCAACATTAAAATTTCAAGCATCTTCCAAATTCCACTAATATAGGAAGTTCTGTACTGTAACAGTAATTATACTCCAAAAGCTGGCTTTGAGACACCTTTAAGACACAGAATGTCATTGCAAAGTAGAGCTACAAAGACTAGGATTCTCCTACAGGCAAACTGCCCTTATTCTAAGGTTACCAGGATCCTAGGAGGCTAAGGTATTCTTATTTTTAGAGTAAACAGGGAGCTTAATGCTATTTCTGAAAGATCTGATCAGACTCCTGTTAGGACTGGTACTACCAAGAGAATACTGATGGATATATTCACATGTTTGTAGCTTTTCCGATCTGCTTTTTTTGGTACTGGGGATCGAACTCCGGTCCTTGAGCTTGTGCAGCAGGTGGCGAAACCACTGAGCTAAATCCCCGGCCCCCAATCTGCTTTGAGCAATGCTATTCATACTTTTTTCATCTTGCTTTTCACTGAACAGTTCTCATTCCTCTAAGCCATAAACATCTTATCACAGGACTGAAACATACAACATACAACCCTTTAAGGTTTTTATTGTTTGTATTAAGGGTATATTCAGTGTAACCAAAAAACCTATAGAACTTTTCACATTAAACATATCAAGTTTTTGATCTTAAACCACTATTACCAATTTTGAAATGTTAGGGGGAAAATTAATTCTAGCACACAGACAGGAAGGGCTAGATACATGCAAATAGGTTTAAAGGACTTGAGCATTGTTGTGTTGGTGCTGCAGTCACTACTAAGCCTTAGTCATGTCCTCTGACCTACAAATTGTTTGAATGATCCTATCAGCAGTAACAAATATTACCTAACTGTACAAACAAGAAAACAATGTGTAAAGAGTATCACAATCTTACAATAAGGAAGAAAATAATCTAAAGGTATATAAGCATATCATTTAGTTTCATAAAAAGTGTATTTAGGGCCGGGGATTTAGCTCAGTGGCACTGCACCTGCCTCACAAGCCCAAGGTCCTGAATTTAATCCCCAGTACCAAAAAAAAAAGCATATTTAGATCTAGAAATATATATATGGGAGGGGGACAATGACTAGACAAAGACCAGAAGAGATCACTAAAAATACTTTGAACCCCTGGATGACAAAAATTATAATTTCCTTTGTGCTTCTCTATCTCCCCAAAATTTACACATCCATAAAGAGCCAAGGATTTATGGCACCGCACCTGCCTGGCAAGCACAAGGTCCTGAGTTCAATTCCCGGTACAAAAAAAAAGTAGTCTATAAATTCAATGTACAAAGTTGTATCAAATCTGCTGAGATTCACTGATTGTGAAACACTGGGGTTACAGGTCAGTGTTACAGTGTATTTAATTATTGTAAAGTGTAAAGTAATTACTGTGGTCCAAGGCCAAAGTCTCTAAAAATCTTTAAAATTACACTCTTAGGTACTGAATGAAAAAAAAGCTTTAAAATCCTGAAAGATCAAGGAAGAAGAGTCAATCGTCTTGAATTACCTGTTGTATTGGTTGGTACTGGAGGAGGAGGCGGCACTATTGAAAAACAAAACAATATACATCAAAACAGTCTGAAGCATCAATACCTGTAACACTATTTCACAACCTGCAATCATGAGTACTACTTTCATAATGCTTACAATGTTAAGTACTACCTTTAGAAGAGAGTGACAGATGCCTCACCAAATACCAGTTTCCCTGCTACTTTACAAATGGATTCACCAAATTTCAGTGACACTTCCCTTCCCCTAAGACAGGTATTTCTTAGCCTCACTTGCAGCTAAGTAGCCATGGGTAACTTCTAACAAGCATCCTTACCATAAATGTGGGCCTCCATTTTTCCCTACTAGCAGGAAAAATCAAGGTGATAGCTAGAACACAAGCATCCACCTTGGACAGGAAGGTCAAAGCTATTTTTGAGAAATGATACAGTGGAAACCTAAAGGGGGTCTGAATCTGTAATGGTTGTAGAGTTACAGCTCTAGATTTCTACTTGTACTCTAGCCCAGATTTCTTCATTCGAGGGAGAAGTAAATTTATCCACTGCTTAAAAGTAACTAATTTGGGGGGTTATGTTCTTTACAGTCAAAACAAATTCTAACTGTTATATCACCAAAGCAGTATTAAACCAAGGTCTGGCTAGTTTTTCTTTTTCAGTACTGGAGATCAAACTCCGGACCCTGCGCTTTCAAGGCAGGCAGCAGAACCACTAAGCTAAATCACCACCCCATAGTTTTTCTAATACTCATTAAAAATGTTTGTTCATGTAAAACCAATGTGGGTTATAAGGACTCTACATAGGGTAAGCTCATCTAACATTAATAAAATCCCTAGTTACAAAGTTCATATTGGGATGGGGAAATCCTCACGAAAATTAAAGTCAAAAGTAGTCTGTGAAGGTTACTGACACCCTGCAAAAATCTTTTACTCTATTCAATTATCATCTATGTGTCAAATTAAGAGTTTGACTTACTCATCCATAATCTCATTAGAAAAATCAGCTGTTTCAACTAGACGCTTTAATGATATGCAGCACAAAATGTAAGAGTAATCAAGTTCCTCAAATTAAAGTTTAAAAAGTAGATAAACACAGCTGTTTACTTAGCCATAACATGAACTAGGCTAGGGACTAAAATGTGACCATCACCAATATCATAACTAGAATTTGTTAGAACAAGGTTGTCTAGGCCTGCAATATACAAGTACAGGTAGGGGCCGGGGATTTAGCTCAGTGGTTCTGGCGCCTGCCTCTCAAGCACAAGGTCCTGAGTTCAATCCCCGGTACCAAAAAAAAAAAAAAAAACAAGTACAGGTCTAAATGCCAGTATAGTCCTGGAAAGTCAGGAGATGGAAGTATCTACACTTACAGCACTCCACATTTAGTGTAAGTAAATCACTAAACCAAGCTTCAACATATCAACCTTTTATCAATCAATATGAATGTTATTCCTATTTATAACAAGATTAGAATTACACCAATGTTTCAAAGAAAACACTGAAACACAGCTTTGAGGCAACGATTTTTCTCATTCTGTGGCTATTTTCCCCAGCCGCCAACATGAAAACTTACCAGAACACGAGGAAATGTTGTTCACCATGCTACAATTACTAACGCTTACTGTTGAATTATCAGAACAGTAGCTCTTACTTGCTATGGAAAAAAAGAGACAAACATCAATCACTCATTTATATTATCAGTTTGTTACTAAGCTCAAGAACAGCTTCTAAAACAGAATCAAACTCCAACATAAATACTTTAGAAGTCCACAAATACTGGTCAAGTATTCCTTTTCCCATTGTCTTGGAGATACTACATGTGAACCCTCCAAATTTTATCCTTCTAAAATCTAAATGAAACATTCAGATCTTAAGAATTATGCTATAACTATTATACCACCAACAAAGGCAGCCAGAAATCTATACAAGAAGGTGGAATCAGTAAGAAGTGATCAAGATCTTTTAATAAAGGCTTAAGGATTAGTAAACATAGGAAGTGCCCTCTAGCAGTAGTAGATTATGTGTTGCAAATTTTCTGGCTCTAGTCTTTTATACCTTCTAAAACAGCTTCCTGGATAGGCAGCCCAGAAGGAAGAGTAAGGGGAGGCTGGGGCAGGAAGATTTCAAGTTTGTGCCTAGCCCAGGCCTGGAGTTCAATCCACTATACCACCCACCCCTCAAAAAAAGAGTAAGGGAAGAGCATTCCCCAACTAATCTTTTTTTAAAAAAAATAATATTTATGACCTCCTGTATATTTATCTCTTTCTTTCTCTTTTGGTACTGTGGATCGAACTTCCCCAACTAATCTTAAAATAGAACACCCAATCTTCAAAATTTGCCAACTCTTATATACTACCATATAAAGTGAGAGCACGCACCCTTAAGTTCCATTTTATGATCTAAAAAAGTAAAACAAAATGTAAATTTAACCCCAAGTTAATACTTTTGTTTTCAAGAGTCTTTCTAGAACCTTTAATTTTCACTGGGGAATAAAGAAACTTAACACACAACTTCTTCTTTATTTTAAAAAATCCAAATAGGGCCGGGGATTCAGCTCAGTGGTTCCAGCGCCTGCCTTGCAAGCACAAGGTCCTGAGTTCGATCCCCGGTACCAAAAATTTAAATTAAAAAAAACCCAAATAGACTTTTGCTACTAAGAAAAAAAAATCTGACCATCTTACATTCAGAAATTTATGGTGTAATCTTATAATTCTAACAATAATCTTATCCACGCTTCAACGTACCTCCATCTAGCTCTTTATCCCTCAGTATGTTTTAAAATTTAAAACCGCAAGAGTCAACTCTCCTTTCCTATTCCTCCACTGTATCTAAGCATCCAACAAAAATTTCATAAGGTCTCTTTATGTACTGTAGTTCATCTTGCAGGACAGAAGACAGTTAAAACATCTCAGTTTTCAAAGGAAAATTATATGTTATTTCACAGCTAATTCCAGCATATTAACACATCTTAAACCTTACAAAAATCTAAAATCTCTTCTTTGGAAACTTATTGTGTGGTAATCACCAAGTCTAAGAAATCTTAAAAGAAGGGGGGATGGAAGACAAGAGATTTACAGGGCAGTGTTAAACCACTGACATTTTAAAGTACTACATTTGAAAAAAGTAATGCACAGTATCTTACTCTACAGAATTTTCAAATATTCACGAAAACCGTTAGTTGTTTTTTTAAAAAAAGTAACAATTCTGTACTCTCAAAATTACAGCAAGCCCAAAATTTCTTACCTTCTTTACATTCTATCCAATAGCAAGTAGTATTAGCAATACTTGAATTAGAACAGGAAAAACAGCTTTTGTGGTTTTCACAGGTTTCTGGGGAGAAAATTTATTAGATCTATGAGTTGGTATCTCATTTGAGTTTGTTCTAATTACCTCTTTTGAACAATAAGCATTATATACAGTACCAAAATTAGTTAAATCAGAGAAAAGATAAAACTTTATAAACTGGTTTACTAAGAAACGAATTATAAACTATAAAGCCATACATAAAAACTTAGTAGGCAAGTTCAGTACTTGGAGGTCCCTATCAAATAATCCTTTCACACAGGGCAACTATTTGAAAGATACCTAGAGCTATTTGGTTTCTTAAGGCATTTTAAAGTGTCCCTAGAAGATAAAAACATTGGGGAAAAGGCTATGATCAAGACTACAGCCAGAAGAATCACTGCCCATCAAATGAAACCCAAGACTTTTTAAACATAAAAAAATTTTTTATTACAGGTTAAATTCAAACTCTGATGTTGCATTCTGAAAATGAGTTAATTTCCCAGAGATTCAGGGCTCTCCACAACTGGAAACATCTAAAAGGGCCACATTTATACATGTACATGTAAATTTAACTTTGTGGTGTTTTTTTTTTTTTGTACCGGGGATTGAACTCAGGTCCTTGTGCTTGTGCAGCAGGCAGCGAAACCACTGAGCCCCCGGCCCAATGTACATGTAAATTTAACACGCTTGCGAGGTGTTTGCAAATAGTTTGGGCCACATGGTCCATAAACAAGAACCCAAATAGGGCTAATTAGAATTTAATGTTTAGACAAATGAATAATCTATAGAATTGAGCTCTGTTCATGTTTCTAAAGCTAAATGCTTCCAACATTCTCATATGCTTTCTTTCCCCTTGCCTAAAGTTCTGCAGAAGTGTTTTACTTCAATAATTTTATTATTAGGATTTATTGAACACTAGAGCATGTACAGTATCTTGGGGCAGAAGGGGGATCACAAAATAGAAATAAAGTCTTCAGATTTTATGCTATCCATTTAAAACCTTTGATACTAGATGAAGGTGTAGCACAGTGAATGCTATTTACAATGAACTGAACTTGCTAAGTACTTTTCAGACCGCGGCTTATTCAACTATGATTTCCAGAAAATACAAATTATCTCCTTTGCTTTACTTTGTGTAAAATACAAATTATCTCCTTTGCTTTTACTTTAAGTACACAAAGGCAATTAACTTAGTATATTTCCAAGCCTCTTTTAAAGCAACAAACCACACACTACAATTCTGAGGAAACTGAGAAATAAGCAGAAGACAAAAAATATTCTGCTCTATTACCTTAAACATGGCGTGGTTGGAATTCCCATTAATACATTACAATTTACTTTCTTCCTGAAAAATATTTAAATTTTACCATCTTTCTGAACGTAACTAAAAATATTAAGTTTAGGGCAGGGGATTTAGCTCAGTGGTACTGTGCCTGCCTCACAAGTGGAAGGTTCTCAGTTTGATCACTGTACCAAAAAAAAAAAAAAAATTTAAGTTTATCGAGCATACTATTTAAAATTTATAAAACACCAACTAGGGAAAACAGTTCGATCAGCAGGAGAAAAATGTCACCGTAAGTCAATACACTGCAGCAATCCTTCGGTTAAGGAGTCAAGTTTCTTACCCATTATTAACTAGAATGAGCAATGATACAAAACAAATTAAACATCTAGTATTTTTTTGCTTTATTACCTCGTTTGTTTTCTCTCGAGTTGTCACAGCACATTCCAATTTCAGGCTTAAAATCTTTGTATATCTTACCCAAACCTACTCTACTGCAGTTTAACAAAAGTTGTATTCTTTGATAGAGTTTTTGAAAATCGACACAGCTGGGTTCCAACCCAACTCCATGGCCGACTGAACTCAGAACACAGGCCTCGAGAGCGTTCCCTTATCTCTGTCTCCATCTTTCTCCTAGTTTCACCACTCATTTTCCAGTTTCGCCTCAAATATTGGGAGATACTAAGTACGGGCGTGGGTATTTTTCTTTCCTCGTACATACCATACAACGTGAAGTTTTCACTAACCACATGTTGAAATCTCAGAGAGATCCCATGTCCATGTGCAAAATCGGTCATGACACTGCAAGCGACTTCACTTCCCTAACCGAAGTCGGAGACAGTAGCGCTCTTCAGTCTTTAAGTTTCTCTTTCCCCCTTTCGCCACTTCCGGGAAGGTCTCCCTCCGCCGAGGCCCGGGGTGGATGAACCACTGGCCCCGGGGAGGGGGAAGTTAGGTCTCCTCGCCAACTTCGGAGAGCGTCGCCTCGCCTCATCACTAAGCCCAAGACTGACGCCGCGGGAGAAAGCCACGTCCCCACTCGCCACCCTACAGCGAGACTGAGCTACCGGGCACTTTTAAAAGGCTCCCCCGCGTGCACAGCCCCGTCGTCCACGGCGGCCCGAACGCCACAAGGGCTCGCCCTCCCCTTCCCGCCCGGCGCTCCTCGCTGGCCGGGACGCCATGTTGCGGGACTTGCCACCACCCGCGCGTCTGCCTGGCCTCGCGCGCCCCGGAAGAGTGCGGCTCAGCCGGGCGCGCGGAAGCGGGAAGCCCGTAGGGCCGGCTCCCACCTGGTGTTGGGATGGTTGGCGACGGGGTAGACGTCACAGTCGTCAAGACAATCTTAGTGGGCACCAAAGTCGTGTTTGCTGTCCCGGTTGGGGTCGCGGTGACGTTGGGGTTTACAGAGAGCGCATTCTGCAGGCAGAGCGCAGCCAGGCAGGTGGCGGCCCAAAGGAGCAGGCGGGAGACCCCCGACATCGTGTCCTCGGCGCTGGTTTCTGGGCGAGAGCCGCTGCGCACTACGTTCCGTTCGTGCCTCCGCCCGTTGCGGCACCACCTCCAAGATTTCGCTCCCCCGCGGGAGCGCGCAGGGGTCACGTGAGGGGCTCGGGCCAGAGGCGTGTGGAGCGATGTTTAGAAGGGGCGGGGCGCGGGCGAGACCAACGGGAGTTCTTTGGGGGGACCAAGGACATCCAGAGGAAAACTCAGGGCGACAGTGCTACAGAGAAAAAGCGTTCCATGCGATGCAAATTATTTTCTTTGCCCTCAGAATACCACACAGGACGCGACGCAACTGTTCTCGGTCTCTTTTTTGCTGTAGAGAAGTCCTCATCTTGTCTTGATTGGAACAGTCCACTTGCCGGCGCCTGCGGCGGCCGCCTGAGCGCCTGGGTAGGCCCTGGTTCGGTGAACCCACGTGACTGCAGGGCGGCTCCTCCCGGGCCGGGGCGGAAGTTGCTTCCGTGCCCGGCACCACCTAGCAAGAGCTAAGTTTGTCCCTTGTTGCGGCGTTCCCAGAGTGCTTATGTCTCTCCTCAGGGGAGCCACGCTTTCTTCCTGGAAGATCACTTTTGTTGGCCGTGACCCTATTACGGGACTTCTCGGGGTAATGGAGGCTGGACTATTCGGCTAAGAAATTTTGTTCTGCCGCCCACCTAGAGCAACTGGTTGTACTCTTTTCAATTGATATTTCAAACAGCAGTGGGTCCGTCTCATTGCAATCAGTCAGAATCAAAGGCCGTACCCCCGTCGTTCCTCCGTCCCCATCGCGCGGGTGTGGAAATGGAAATTTAGGAGATTGACCAGACCTAGTTGCCTAATGTCGGAGCTGGACTTGTCAGCGTTATGTGTTCCGGCGCTGCTCAGGCTTTTAGTAAGGGTGAGCGCCATCTGATGCCCAGACTCACAAAATGCTTGATGGACTTCTATAAGGTGGTAAAAAATACTTTAAAAGCTGTTTAGGGCTGGGGATTTAGCTCAGTGGTGCCGCCGCCTGCCTCTCAAGCGGAAGGTCCCGAGTTCGGTCCCCGGTACCAAAAAAAAAAAAGGCTGTTTATTTCAGCTCTTTAATTCTTATGAGTAATTTAAATTATACTTAATAAAATAATGTGAGTATTGCTTTTGTAAGGTCTGTTTTACTATGCCCTAAACACCAAAAATGAGGCACTTACTCTTTTTGGGGGGGGGGGGGCTAAGCTAACAAAGTTTTCATTCCTGCCTGGAGTCTAATCAGTGTGATCTTTCCATGCCTCTTGGCTATTAACATTTGTTTCCTTGACTACCCCAGTTGGGGATTTGGTCGGATGTAAACAAAAAACGAATAGGTTTTGGCTAATCGAACCTATGGCCAGAAACCATGTTTCAAGTAGATGAGGTCCCGCCATCAATCAAAGAAACATCTGTTTTTCTCACAGGACGCTTAGTACATCCTGTTTAGCACTTAACTGTCTGACATCCAGGCTAGATGAAGGCACTAGTCAATTTTAGTCTTTCCAGACTGACAGTATAATAGAAGTTCTGTTTTCTCTTTATACTCTCAATGAATTACCTTGCCTCCATTCTAGGACACACTCCATGCGGAAGCCATTTTTTAACAATTCTTCAGTGTTTGATTCTGGTCAAGTTTCCCATAGTCTTGATGAGAGGACATTTCACTTTATCGTTTTAGTATTATAAAACTTTTGCTCATTATATTTTACATGATGTCTATAGAACTAGATCAAGGAAATGTTGCAAAGTCATTTTCACCATTCTGAAAACAAGCTTTCTTTTCAGTTCCTGAAACTAAAATATTGTTGCAGTTCTCAACCTTGGTACGACTGAGATTTTAGGCTGGCAATTCTTGCTTGTCCTTTGCACTATAGACTGTTTACCAGCAACCCTAGCCTCGCAGATGCCAGAAGCACTCCCTCAGTTGGGACAACCCAGAATACCTCTTGGCATTGTGTCCCTGAGGTAAAATAAAAAATCAGCCCCAGTTGAGAACCATTGTCCAAGAAACTTCTGTTTGCAAGGTCAGCTGCTGCTCAAGTTATTTTTACAGATACTTTGTCTGCAATTAGATTATTGATTGGTTGTTGGAGCCACCTTCCGATTAACCATTTTTCTTGAAAGCAACAAGACTGCTTAGTTTTGTGAATCTACTAGCAGTATGAGCTCCCCGTACTTTTAAAAAACAAAAACAAATTGCTTCCCCTAAACACTACCCAGTCTAAGGAGTCTGCCATAAGTTATAACTAGTACTGAGTAGTCCTTAAGAATCAAAAGCTTGATTCCATTATTTAATTCCAAGGAATTCAAACCCTCTTGAATTAGCTGATGTTAAAGAGGATTCATTGTAAGAATATCACAGTTAATCTTACATTCAGAAGTGAGAAGCCAGGTATGTGTAGGTCAATGGCACCTTTAATTTGAAAGAATCCTTGATACATGGACCTGGCTTTCTAGAACAGTTTCAGGACTGACTCCACATGAGCTTACCAGCTATCTCCATTGCCCGTTATTCCCCTTACACTTCTTGGAATAAATACCTACCTACCTCTGCGTCCATCTCATGAAATCTACACTAGAGCTCTTTGAACTTTAAATTCTAACTGCTCGTTTTCTTTTGCACCTTTGTAATATGATTTCTGCCTAGATAATTCTTAGCTCCTCTGTCTGGCCAGACAGATCTGGCCAACTCTATTAGATACCCAACTTTTTTTTTTTTTTTTTTGGTACCGGAGATCGAACTCAGGACCTTGCACTTGCGAGGCAGGCACCGGAACCACTGAGCTAAATCCCCGGCCCTAGACACCCAACTCTTGATAGCTCTATTTTCTGGTACTGGGGATCGAACTCAGGTTCACCAACTTATTCCCTGCTCCAGTCAAGATGCTGAGCTCATAGCAGGCATTTAATTCATTTGACTTTTTAAAAAGAATGGTAAATGAACAAACTGGCTCACTTTGGTCAGTTGTCCATCCTTCCCAAAAATAGCTGTGGCTAAGAGGGTATAGCAGCTGCAAGCAGCTCCTTGGACAATGTTTCGAGGTGTTTAGGGCAAGGGGGGAGGTCTGGGTGGGAGGCAAAGACTACATCTGTATTAGAATTTTTACATGTATTAAGTCTCTTGCTTCTAAATCAGTTTTGATAGAGAAATATAGTAACAAACCAAAGATTAATAGTACACTAAAACTGTATTCAGATTCTTAATGTTAACACTATATATATATATATATATATATATATATATATATATGTATGTTTGTTTGGTTTTAGTTTTTTTGGGTACTGGGGATCAAACTCAGGACCTTGAGCTTTTGAGGCAGGCATGGTGCCACTGAGCTAAATCCCCAACCTTTGTGGATATTTCTTTGAAGACTGATCCAGAGCTTTGGAGGGGAGCATTACGCTTCAGTTCCCACCCTTGGCTACACATTGCAGTGTTGACAAATATGGATGCCTGGGTCCTGACTTAATGGTCCTGAAAAAGCCTGGGTATCAGGAGTTTTAAAGGCTTCCCAGGTGTTTCTAATCTTCAGCTCAGGTTGAAAAGCTCCATTTTACTCTTGTTTCTGAGTGTAGTTCAGGAACAAGTTTCATTTATATCACCTAGAAATTTGTTAGAAATGCAAAATCTTGGGTCTCATTGAAGACTTTCTGAATCAAAACCTGCATTTTAACAAGATCTACAGATCTTTTACATATGCATATTATCAAAGTTTAAGAAGACTGTAGGGGGCTGGGAATTTAGCTCAGTGGCGCCACACCTGCCTTACAAGCACAAGGTCCTGAGTTCAATCCCCAGTACAAGAAGAAGATGAAAAAAAAAAAGACTGCTTTACACTATAAGCTACAGAGAACTCTTCTAACCTTCTAACATGTTGCTGTCCTTGATAGTGAATCATCTACAGGGGCTGGAGATATAGCCCAGCGATAGTATTTGTCGAGCTTGTATTAAGTGTCTCAGTTACTTTTTCTTCATTGAGACACAATACCCAACACCCACAACTCTTCGAAAGAAAGGTTTATTTTGGCTCACAGTTTGTAGGGATTTTGTCTAGAGTCTGCTGGTTCCAAGGCAGGGTGGCCTGGCAGGGGGGCATGGCAGAGGAGAAACAGCTCAAGGTATGGCAGGAAGCAGAGATATCAAGCAAGGAGGGAAGGAGATAGACCCTTCCTGGCCATGCCACTGGCAACCCACCTCCTCCCACTAGGTTCTACCTCCCAACATCACATTTAGATATAAACTCATCAGCAGAGTAATCCACTGATGAATATCATGCCTCTAATATAGGGGGAATAGATGCAACTCCCAAACCAGTTAGATATCTGAAAAGTGAGTTCATGTTCTTTAAAATTGAAGAATGAATTCTAGGAACAACAGAGGTTAAGAGTAGGAAAAATTTAATGATAGCTCCTGTCTAAGAGAGACAGAAGGTGGACAGGAAAACGGGTTGTGTGCCCAACCTGCTTCTCAAAAGTGTTTTGTGGAACAAAGCCACGAGGTGAGGCGGGTTCAAGGTGGGACAATACCATAGTCAACTAGTAAGATTACAAGTACAGTCCCTTAGGTAATATTGATCCTATGGGAAATCACAAGGTGGGACAAAACTATGATCAACTAATAAGATTATGACAAATATAGTTCCTTAGGTAAGATTGATAAAATGAGGATCAAATGGGGAAGCAAGACAAGGAGCAAGTGTACAAGGAACGAGGAAGGATGTTTTGGAAAGGGATGGGTCAGAGATCTTTCCTGGAAGGGGTGGCCAAGATCTTGGTCCCCCACCCAAGTGATTGATACCTATTTAGAATATCAAGGACTGCTGTTCATCCCTAGGGGAAGTGAAGTGCGTGTGTGTGTGTGTGTGTGTGTGTGTGTGTGTGTGTGTGTGT